ACCCCCCAATCCTCTTCAGCAGCACTACCACCTAGCCAGTTATTCCACACTTTGTAGTTACACATTTGATTTTTCCTTCCTAAGTGTAGTACTTTGCACTTCTCTATTGAATTTCACCTTGTTGATTTCGGACAAATTCTCCAATCTCCGGCTGTCTTGAATTCTTATCTTGTCCTACAAAATGATAGCAGCTCCTCCCCTCTTGGTGTCATCCACATATTTTATAAGCATATGTCCATTCCATTATCGGAGTTATTCATAAAAATATTGACTAGTACTGACCCTTGTGGGCCTCTGTTAGATACACCCTCTGTTTGACAGCAAACCATTGATAACTACTTTTTGAATATGGTCTTTCAACCAGTTTTGCACCCAACTTATAGTAACTTCATGTAGAATACATTTCCTAGGTTATTTGAGACTGTCATGAGGGACTGTGTCAAAAGCCTTACTAAAATCAAGATATCACATCTACTGCTCCTTCCCATCCACTAGGCCAGCGGTCCCAATCTGTGGGGCTTGTCCCCTAGGGGGGCGCTGAAGAACATTCAGGGGGGCATGGCTGGGACCCGGGCCAGCCCCCACGGTGGGTAGGGAGGGAGCACCACCCAGCCCAGCTCCTGGCCCTGCGCCCAGGGCTCCGCTTCCAGCTCACCAGCCCCACACCCGCCTCCAGCTGTGGCCCCATGCTTGGCCCCTTACCCCAAGGAGGGAGGCACGGACAGGGGTGAGGGGGACACTGCACTAAGCCAGTAACCCTATCAAAGAAGGAAATAAGGTTGGTTTGGCATGATTTGTTCTTGACAAATCCATGTTGGCTATTCCTTCCCACCCTGTTATCCTCTGTTTACAAATTGATTGTTTAATAATTTGTTCCAGTATCTTTTCAGGTATCAAAGTTAGGCTGGCAGACTTGTAATTTCCCAGGTATTCTTTGTTCCCTTTTTTTATAGGTCACTAATTGACCAGTGGAGCTATTACTTCAGTAGACACTTAATTAGACTACAAAATATGAATAGAGGCCTGTGTTTTTTGTAAGGGGCAAGGTGTAAGGTGCAGCACGTACATGGTTGAATTATTTAGATTGTGCCCACTCTGATCTAGGTGTCTTCCACACAAAGGAAGACACAATCTCTACCCCGACTGTACAATCTAAATAGTACACTTCTAAGGGTTTGTTGCGGGGGGCAGGTTATGGACCATTCTGAAATACAGCTGTCTTCTTCTTTTCCAAAACTGTTTTCTAAAGCTAGCAAAGATTTTTATTTGGGACCATTTAAACCAGTGGTTCTCAAACTTTTGTATTGGTGACCACTTTCACACAGCAAGCCTCTGAGTGCAAGGGTTTCGGGGTGGAGGCTGACAGCTCGCAACCCCCATGTAATAACCTCCTGCCCCCCCTGATTTAAACAAGTGTGTTGCCTCACCCCTTGAGTTGAAGGGGTGAGGATATGCAAGAATACAGGAAATATCTCCCTCTTTAGGAGGGAAGAAATGTAAGATTGCAAACCCCAGGATTCACTTAATATGACTCTGAAGGGTGAGTGTCCTGTAATGCACACCTGTGGTGCAATATAAATACTAGTCACTTCTATAGAGCCTTCCATCTGAGGAGCTGTAGGTGCTTTATGGTCTCTAAGTGAGCTCATAACCTAGTGAGAGAGCTATTCATCTCAATTTATGGATACTAATATGAGATCATGAGCATTGATATCTGTTCTAGGAGTAATCATGACTCTAGTCTCTTTAGATTTGTATACTATGCTCAATACCATAGGATCTATGCGCCTTCCAAAAGTGCATTCAACAATGTGACTAGTATCTCTCCTGCATGACTTTCTCCCTTCCTCCTACCAAGGAGATATTGTATGGGATTTTTTAAATGGATTATATGTACACTTTGCTCTGTTTGTATTACCAAAGGCAAGGTCAAAGTATGCCTTGCATTTGGAGCAAAAGGTGGTGAGGTTTGTGGTGGGTTAAGTGGTACTGAAGTTCATTCCACCATATTGGACCAGCTCCTGAGAGAGCTGTCTTCTGCACAAATGAGCTTTACCCTTACAATGGACAATTCCATTTTGCCTGAGGATCAGAGTAGTCAACCGCGATCCCCAGCCCAGTTTTAGGTGATATTTTAAGTGCTCTGGGCCGAGACCATTGCATGAGCATTTAACAATAATAGGTGGCCCTTGTGGAGGAGTAGACTAGTTATGCTGTGTGTTCAGGTCTAGATTTCAGACCAGATGGAAGTTACCCATAACATTTAAATATTAAATTTTTCCCTTGGAATTGAAGTTAGTCTGTTCTGACTCATTCTGACTGGTTATTACAGTGGCATTAATTTACATTAAAGCAAGGGCAAAGCTTAACTGAACACTCAGTGAGAGTCACACTAAAAACGAGAACATGAGAAACTGTTTGTAATACTCCTAACAAGCAAGATGCAGAGCAGTGTCGTCAGACAATCATTTGAATGTGAGACCACAGCATTGAGAGCCACATCTTCTTGTAGGCCAATCAGATTTGAAGTCTTAACTTTTTATGGTCAAGTGATCAAAATTATTTTCCTCTGCCTGTAGAATTTCCCCTAGTTAATGCAGCAGGCCCTGGTGATGAGTCACAAGCTATTGAGAATAGTTTCAAACCAATGCTTAAAACTCTGGATAGCTCACCATGATCAGTCTTACTAAGGCCATGTCTACACAGTTCTTGCACTGGAATAACTGTCAGCCAGGTGCGGTTTTTTAATGATGCAACACTTAGTCTGGACACGGTTACATCAATATAAAAGTGTCTTATACAGGTATAGCTTATTCCTTTTCCCATATGGGAATAGCTCCACAGGTATAAGCACCTTTATAGTGATATAACAACATGCACACTGGGGATGTCCTGCCTTAACTATACCAGTAAAGTTAAAGCAGTACAACTTTTGTGTGTAGGTAAGCCCTAAGGTACATGCCGAGCCCTTAAAAGCATGAGGACCAAGAGACTGGCTGTTACTATCTTGTTTGATCTTAAGTTAATGTGTCAAAGTTGGCTTTTGTGTGTAGAGGATGTCAGCGTTGGGACGTCTGTGCAGAAGAATATGAACATAGACACTTCTCCGCTATTTCTCAGAACAAGAGGAAGTTGGAAAAGTTTTACACCACAAAATAGAAAAAATATTCAAAGGAGTGTTGGGTTGACTTCAGTTACTTTGTTGCTGTTAGGTTGCATTTGAGGTCCTAGACGTGTTTTGAATCTACTAAACTTAGACTTTTATTTCTTGAGAGAGTAAGTAAGCTGTATTAAAAAGTCTGGTTATTTCTGTTTGACACAAGCCTTTTCAACGAGATTTGTGGTCAGTACAAACTTTCCTGCTTGGATATGAAAGGATCCTTGCTCTGAAGCAAATTTCAAGGGTTTTTTACGCAAGTTATGGGAGGTCTTATGGAGGTGGCTAACCTTTATTTAAATACATAATGGGAGAGAAGTTGTTTATCTAGTTACTAGCTAATTCCTTAAGTGGCATGGAGAAGCCACAGCAGTGACTCAAGGCCAGTGATTCTTTCCATTCCACAAAATGGATATATGTGGTCATAAAAGCACATCTCCTGCATGTTAGTCTAGATAAAATCTGTTCTCAGTGGAGGAGAGGGAGTAAATTACAGATGACAAGCACTGGGAAGCAGTAGAGAAGGATTTGTTTTACTGCAGGATTGTTGGCTGGGACACTAAGCATCAATATTTTTGTTCGTTAACATAGCATCCACCGTGTTCTAGATGCTTTAGCGGTTAAAAAAAAAGCCACGATATCTGCCCTGAGGAGTTTTCACTCTAGATGGTATAAAACTGTGGTGAATGATCAGTGAAATGTGCACAAGTCTTGACGTTCGGTGACTTTTTATTCTTTGCTTTTTGCAGATTTAGGATTTGTTGGATGTGGGAAAAATCAGTAGCCAACTATTTTAAATTAGGATAGGGATCCCTTTGGGCAAGGGTTGTCTGCCCTTGGTTGAGTGGTTGTACTCGCAATAGCTGGGATAAGACAGACAGTGTTTACTAAATATATGCTGGGTAAGTCTCTCACCACTTTGAAATGCCCCATCAACAGAAGACCTCTTGGAGATCTCTTGGGCCATTGGCAGAGGCCAAAGCAAGGAAGTGTTTCTAGACACCTAAAAGGTCTTTCATTTCTAAACTTCACTTTTTTTTTTAGTTTTCCCTGGTATTTTGGCTGTAGATGGAAAACTAATTTTCTGAACATAAAATAACTTTGGGATTAGACTGGAATCGGGTTGAAACTCTTGGGCTTGAGTTTAATAAAAAGCGAGCATAGGGACAAGGGGGAGAGAAAAGAAATGTATAAGCCTCTTTTCATGCATATTTGCACTACAAGGTAACAAAATCATAGGCTACTTTTGCCCCGATGCATTTATAGTTCTTAGACACACACGATTATAAGTAAAGATTGAAATATTTAAATACAAAATATTGATATTGTTTTTATAAAAAGTCTACTCCAGAAAACTTGTCAATCTGCCCATCATCCCCCTATATTATGCAGCATCATTTATCACTGCATTACAAATAGGTGGTGTATTCCAGTCATATACGTCACCTTTTAATGTGGATATAGTAGATTGGGCTCTTCAACGCACGGTGACTTGGGCATTGTTTCTCTACTGGAGGGTTAAGGAGTTGGATGTTGTTGCTTTCAGAACATGGTTAAACTAGGAGTTTGTCTGCAGATTCAGACCACACTCATTGATTCCCATTTGCAACCATGAAAGTTAGAAAACTTTTTTTAAAAGTGAAATTTTGAATCTGCCAAAATGGATGGGGTAGTGCTCCTTCCCACTTACTCAGGGTGAGCAAGCAAAGACGTTTTTCAAGCCCTGAGGAATGATCTCCGGCCCATGGCCAGTTTCCAGTTCTGCTGGGCAGCTTTTAATGATTAACTTAAACATTTTAATATTGCCTTGAGATTTTAACCTTTGTTCGTTTTGTTTCTGTAGTTGGAAAAACCAAAGGCCCATCCAAGGCCTTCACCCTGTGTCCGGTTTTGAGCTCAGAGGCTACCAGAAATCTAAACACCTAATATAACTCCACCCAGCAACCTGTCCGACATGTCAGGACCCGTGCCAAGCAGGGCCAGAGTTTACACTGACGTAAACACGCACAGACCCCGAGAGTACTGGGACTATGAGTCACATGTTGTCGAATGGGGGTAAGTGTCTGCACTTCGTATTGACTGTGCTGGGCAGGGGTTGGTCCTTGTTGGATCTGGCTGAGTGGTGTGTGGGAAGCTATCAGTTCGAGCACCTATAATGCTTAAGGTTTTTCTTGCGTTTTGCCAGTATTCTAGTAAGAATGGTGTACGTTAGGGTTGTAAGGTTTATCGTTAATTGTAGAAATAGCACAGTGCCCCTTCACAGTGTCTGAAAGATTTTCTTGTGTCACTATTTTAAAACCACAACAGTATAAGAAAACTTTGAGCAGCTCCCTCCTTCCTTTAATCTAGTTGCTTTTCAATGGTGATGGAGAAACTAAGATCTTAGCTCTGGGTGAATCATTTGAAAAGATGTCAAGGTACCTCTGTAAACTGGGTGATAATAGAAGAGACTTTTTTTTTCAGTGTCTCTGTGTATATCACTTTGTAACAATCTCATTGCTCAGCTCTCTGCAAGGGTCTGGAGAAGTTTTGTACATTTAATTCAAAGGAATGGAGTGTTTAAACTGAGCTTAGAACTAAAACCTCCCAAGATTCAGACAGCATTGGTGCCAGCTGATATTGCAGCATTTCTGCTTTTCTATAGCAGCGTCTGGGCTGTGTAGGCCCTTCCTATGCCTGACTCTGAAATGTACGTTGTCTTCTGAGCATAAGCAGTGCCCCAGACTCAGCCCATTTTAAACAGGTTTTATAGCACCTGTCTATAGGTGCTGTCTCCCTTAGTAATTTTAATTGATGTTAACAGTCTGTTAGATTTTTGTGATGTGCATGGAAGTCATACACATCAAGTCTGTGCTGGAAGGACCGAACAAACGTAGTGGGGTGGTCCCAACTGAAACACACCATTTTTCCCAGCCCTTCACTCAAGGGAAAAGATTGGATACTGGGCTTATCTTGTCGCTTGTTGGAGGAGAAACACCTTAACTGATTACTCTCATTATAGTTAGTATGGCAACACCCATTTTTTCATGTCCTCGGTCTATATATATCTTCCTACTGTATTTTTCACTGCATGCATCTGATGAAGTGGGTTTTGGCCCACGAAAGCTTATGCTCAAATAAATGTGTTAGTCTCTAAGGTGCCACAAGGACTCCTCGTTCTTTTTGCTGATCAGTTCAAGTGAACTTGGTTCTTGTGACATCCCAGGGAATAAATCCCCTATCCAAGAAAAGATCCAAAAAGGCAGTGACAATGAAAGGTTTCCTACACTCCTCTCCCGATGTTCTTCAGCCCTGAACAGGAGGGGTCACCTCTCTGTGTGAGGGTAGCTGTCTACATGGTCCCTTCAGTCCTTGACCTCTCTTGATGAGAATGCTTCAAGGTCTCCATGTATGAAGGTGGGTTTTTTTGTGAACTCCTGTTGAGGAGGAACTACATGGAGACCAGATCATTACAAATAGGCAATTATCAAATGGCAGCTACTCTTGGTCATTACTCACCTGGGTTGGATTTGTATTGAGATGGAAAGGTGAGGTTCCACATTTCTCTATCAGTCTTTGATCTTTTATTTTAGAAAGAGGAGTCCAAGCAGCCAGACTACCTAGCTTTTATAGAAGACTAGGCAGACAGCTGATGTTTGTCGAGGGACAGTTTTGTGAATGAAAAAGGACTGACTGAGCTCTTTGGGGACTCTGTGCCTTTATCTCTCCACAGAAATCAAGATGACTACCAGCTAGTTCGGAAATTAGGCCGGGGCAAATACAGCGAAGTGTTTGAAGCCATCAACATCACAAATAATGAAAAAGTAGTAGTTAAAATCCTCAAGGTGAGCAAGGGACTGTCTGGAAGATGGAAATCTGTCCCTGGGGTATTTAGGTGGATATAAAGTGCAAGGCTTTGGCATAGAACATCTGAGTCTCCTGAAATAATTCTGTTATGGGAAATGTCACTCAGTGGCACTTGGAACCCCGTTGAGGTTCCTGTAACTTAGCACTATTCTCAGTCCATCCGTGCAAGCCCCATGCTTGCTTACCATGTCAAATCTGTCTATAGGAAATTTCTGCTTGTAGCAGCATCCGCTTCTGTGCATATCCATCCTTCCAAGGTGCTACTCTATATCACGATGTGCTGCCATGGCTTTCTCCGCACTGCATTAGGAAACTAGGTTTTCTTTGAGATCAATGCCAGTGCACCAGACATTAGCTTTTAGAGCTGAGCTCATAACCTGTTGACACCAAAGGGATGATTAGAAAATTCTCTTGCCCTGTGTGAAGCCATGAGCTCCTTCCCCCATGAGCACTCTGGCTATTTCCCCCTTAAGAACAGAGGAGCAAAACACCCAAGAGTCAAGCTGGAATTGTTCCTCTTTAAGGCCACAGATTAGCTAAAGCAGGGGTCGGCAACCTTTCAGAAGTGCTGTGCCGAGTCTTCATTTAGTCACTCTAATTTAAGGTTTTGCGTGCCAGTCATACATGTTAACGTTTTTAGAAGGTCTCTTTCTATAAGTCTATAATATATAATTAAACTATTGTTGTATGTAAAGTAAATAAGGTTTTTAAAATGTTTAAGAAGCTTCATTTAAAATTAAATTAAAATGCAGAGCCCCCCGGACTGGTGGCCAGTACCCGGGCAGTGTGAGTGCCACTGAAAATCAGCTCGCGTGCTCCAGGTTGCCTACCCCTGAGCTAAACTTTAGTGACTACTAACCTTAGAGCATTGCTTTTCTGCTCTACAGAATGTCACCATAGTTAAGATTTACATCTAAAATGCAGACTCAAGAGGTAGGCTCTCAATTGCTAACTGCTAAAGACTCTGGCATGTTGTCTCTGGCTAATAAAAGGTCACTAGCACTGGAACGCACACATCTTGCAGCCTTAATTGGTGAACTGTTGTAATCCAGAGTTTCTCAAACTGGTTGTATTGCTGGTGTTCCACTCAGAGCTTGCTGGTCACCTGGTGCTACTTCTCATTTCCAGCTGTCTGATCATATAGATAGTATCAGGATCATTTTGTATTTTTGGCTACCTTTCCAGGTAATAAGTGGCTTTAGATGTTGCTCTTACCAGGTGGTTGTACAACTGAGAGTGGAAGGAGAGATGGTCTGTTATCACAAATGTTTGAGACTCCCCTCCTTCTAATGCATGCAAAATCAGATAATGAAACTGGAAAGTTTGGCTTTTTAACCTAATTCCGTAAGTGCTCTGACAGCCACTTTTAAGAGAGAGACAGATGCTGAGCTGCAACTTTTCCATTAGTCTTACTCACTGGAATGTTTTATTTTATCAATGCTTTGGGTTTTTTCCTTCAGCCAGTAAAAAAGAAGAAAATCAAGCGTGAAATCAAGATCTTAGAAAACTTGCGAGGTGGTCCCAATATAATCACCCTTGCAGATATAGTAAAAGACCCTGTGGTGAGTATAAATGGCTTAGGGATGGTGCTCAAATTGCTGGGTTTGACTTCAGTGTTGACCTGTCCTCACTCTGCTTTCTCCCTTCTGCTCTTAAATCCTGTCTTTAAATTGTTTAATCAGAACAGCCTTTTAATCAGTTTAGCTTCTTTCAGAGGGCCCTACCCCATCCAGAGACCATTTCTTAGGCTTTGTTTACACTTAAAACACTAACAGCGGCACAGCTGCAGTGCTTCAGTGTAGACACTCGCTACAGCAACAGGAGGGGTAGCTATGTTGACAGACGAATTCTTCCATCAACCTAGCGCTACCTACGCTAGGGGACATAGCTCTATCTCTCAGGGGTGTGGATTTTTCACACCCCCGAGAGGCACAGCTATACCGATGTACGTTTTCAGTGTAAACCGGCCCTTACCCTTCTAGCGTAAGGGGCAGTAACACTGAACTGAAATGTGGGAATTCATTCTGCAAACACAGGGCCAATGCAAAGTAGTGCTGGCTTCAGCTCTGCCATCTCTTTGTGAATCCCAGAAAACAACTGAAGCATGTCAATTGTCCAAGCGGGAAGGGATTTTAGTGGTAATCATAGAAAATCATCAGATTCATTCATAACTGTGTACAAAGATTGCTTATCAAAGATTTAACATAGCTAAATACTTCTTTCTCTCTTCCTAGTCCCGGACCCCTGCTTTGGTTTTTGAACATGTAAACAACACAGACTTTAAGGTACAGTCTGAGATATCTGCTTGTAATTGTGTTCTTTTCCATTTGAAAGCCACCTCCCTTAACTTTTATTTATGGAGGGGGGGACTAGTACCATTGTCTTGGGCAGGTAATTCAGTCGCTGTTTCCTTTTGGCATGTTAGCCTGACATTAAAGGAGGCAGAGGGCAGAGGTTTGTAACTTGCTTATTCATTATGTCTCCGTAGTAGAACACTTAATAGAATCCAGGAATCCTGATCCCAAGTCCCATACTGTTAAATACTTCGTGTGCATCAGGTGAATCTCCCCAACATTCATTGCCCTGGTCACTTCCCAATTTTGAAATGCGAAAATGCATGTTACTGTGGCTTCAGTTCTGTGGGGAGAGAGTTAAGTGCTGCTTGCCCTGACCTCTGTTGACATACCTCTGGAGTTATTTACCCCTTCACATAACACAAGAACCAGAGGTCACTCAAAGAAATTAATAAACAGCACGTTTAAAACAAACATAAAGGAAGTACTTCTTCACACAATGCACAGTCATCCTGTGGAACTTGTTGCCAAGAGACTTTGTGAAAGCCAAAAGTTAACGGGGTTCCATGAAGAATTAGGTTCATGGAGGACAGGTCCATCAATGGATATTCAGCAAGATGGTCAATGATGCAACTCATGCTCTGGGTGTCCCTAAACCTCTGACTGCCAGAAGCTGGGACTGGACGACAGGGGATGGATCAGTCAATAATTGCCATGGTCTGTTTATTCCCTCTGAAGCATTTACCACTAACCACTGTCAGAAAACAGGATACTGGGCTAGATGGACGATTGGTCTGACCCCAGTATGGCCATCTTTTGTTAACACCATCTGGAATAGTTGTCTTAATTCTGCGGAAATCTTCAGCCTCTGAGAGCCAGCCTGCAAGCCATTGCTTTTTATGACACTGCATTCGAGGGTTGAGGGTGTCTGTGGGAAATGAAATCAGAACTGTACTTCTTGGAAGTGAGCTTTACATTGGCCAAAATTAGAGGTGAATGATACAGCTGAATTATGGGAGGAAGGGGGCAGTGCTGAGTGGCTGCTGGATTGAGGAAATGTTGCTACTGCCATGAATGCAGCTGGAAAAACATAGCTGCAGGGAACCTGGTTGTTTTATTCTGTATTGGCATGGATGTGATTTCCTGCTCTGTTCTTAACACTGAAGTGATGTCTTTGTCTCCCACAGCAATTGTACCAGACATTAACAGACTATGATATTAGGTTCTACATGTATGAGATTTTGAAGGTAAGTGTTCTCCAGTTCATTGATTTTTTTATCAGTTTTGTGTGGATCTGGGATTTGCCCCCAATACAGTCCTACAGTGGCTGGCGTGACTAGTCAGTGATAGAAAACAAATGCAGGTGGGAGAAGGATCGGGTCTCTGAATGACAGAAGTGAGAGGGCTAATACCGAGTTTACAGGAACTGGCCTGCCTTGTTCCCACACATTCTAGCCCTGCTGGGTATAGACGGGCTGCTGCCTTTGAATTTTTGGGTACATTGAGACAAGTAGAAATACCAAATCAGACGTGCGTGTACAGCCTGAGAAAGGGGAAAACTTGGATTGAAAGCTATGATGTGCTGGCTTCCTGCCTTAATGTAGTCTGTGAACTGAGTGCGTTTGCAGCACAAAATCCCCTTTCTTACCCAAATGGGGGGTGTCCCTCTTTCCCCCTTCATCAGAGTTTGAAGGAAGCAAGACCTGTTTGGTCCATGGTGCCTTATAGCTCTGCTTTTACGGACCTTATTGAAATTCCACTTACATTAGGAGGCATCTGAGGTGAAGCTAGAAGCATTGCTCTCCCCAAAACATATTGATGGGCCTACTCCTGGGGAGAAGGTATTGAAAAGCAAGTTCTATAGGTTTTCTTTTCTGAGTAGAACAGACCTCGGATGATAGTCAGGTCTGCTGTGTGGTGAGATTGGGGTATGCATGAAAACACTTCCCCACCTGCTGGGTTTGCAGAAAGCTGTATCTCAAACATTATTCCTGTAACCAGTATTAACTTTACAATGGTTCGGTTCATAAATCTGTCTGAAGTAGGGCAGTTATCTATTTTTGGAATCCCTCCTCATACAGCTTCCTCCTTTCCTATGCATGGGAGCCTTGTCAAGGGAGTAGATCTCAAGGAACACCAAATGGTGTCGTTCCTTTGTGACCCCTGCTTTGGTCAGAGTGGGTGCAAAAGAAAGCTGCTAACCTGTGTTGAATGACTTCTTCCTTTCCTCTGTTCTATACACAGGCTTTAGATTACTGTCATAGCATGGGGATCATGCACAGAGATGTCAAACCCCACAACGTCATGATTGACCATGAGCACAGAAAGGTAAGGAGCAGAATGCTGGGTGGGTTTCACTTTTTTCTTCAGATCTACAGCACCTCCATCATGCCATCGCTGCGCTGTGGTGCTGCCAGAGATCAAGGCTCAAAGTGGCAGCTTTTCCATCATGTGAATAAGTCTAAAATGAAAATCTGTAAAAAGCCTTTAACTAAATAGCTACAGTTAAACTTTATACAGAATTACAACTGTTTAAGTGACGGCTCTTCCTCACATGTTGTAGTTCATACTGTAACATGTATAGCTAGGGGTGATTACGTGTACATGCATTCAGAGGTGATTCCTCTGTGTGGTTGGAATGTGGCCACTGCTTTTACTTGCAAGTCTAGCTATGCTAGTGACTATAATATGGTTCCTTTGTCCCTCAAAAACTGATCTTGTATGAGACATCCCCACCCTGTTAACCCAGACAGAATCAGCTTGTGCTAAGAAATTTCCTTCCTACTACGTTAAATCTTGGAACTGAAATGCAATGCTCTGACTTGCTCAGATAGTCTCAAATGTGTGTGGGGGTTTGATTAAGTATTTCCAGCACAAAGATAGAGGGGTAGCGGTGTCGAGTTGAGACTAATCCTCTACCAAGAATCAACACAAATGTTCATGATCTCACTTCTAGCGGATTAAAAAGACCCAATTTAGTCTAAAATTTCACCAAATTAAAATTTTCTGAGACATGGTGTCTAAAGTAATTGGAGAGCCAAGGCCCAGACCAGGCCTTCTTACCTCTTCCTCTTCCATTTCTAGCTGAGGCTAATAGACTGGGGTCTGGCTGAATTCTATCATCCTGGCCAGGAGTACAATGTCCGAGTGGCTTCCCGATACTTCAAAGGACCTGAACTCCTTGTAGATTATCAGGTAAGAATCACAAGTGAGGTTCAGACCAAAGTTGCTTAACTTTGGCTTATGCAGAAGCCCAATACCATACCAGAGTAGGAGACTAAAGGAACTAGAACATCTGAAGACTGGACAGCATTCAAGAACCTTGGAGGACCTGTCCTCCAATGCAGGGGAAAAAAGGAGCAGAGGGTATTCAGCACCAGTATACTGGAGAGACTAATGTTTCTAAGAGGCTCTAGAGAAGAGCCAAAAAACTTACAGGCCTGCTTCCTTGATTTCAGAAGCAAGGGAAGATAAGGGGACCAGCCTTGTACTAAGGAAGAGCATACAAAGAATTGAACTGGACCCATGTTTACACTCAGGGTAACTAAATGTATGGCATAAATTACTAAATGGAGCCATTAAAATCCTAAAAAGAAAGGTTATTGCTGTAGTTCATTTTAGCTACAGGCTGTTTCCATTGTGGAGGGTTACAAACTGCGTGCTGGGGATGGAAGGATGTTACTGACTGACCAAGGGGCCCAGCACTCCCAGATTCTGTTCTGGTTCAGGGCCAAGCCAACTTCTCACCTGCCAATTTTTCCTAAGGGAGAAACAACCTGTTTCTATTCTTCCTTGCTTACCCCACATTACTTCTCTGGCAACACAACCTGCCAATTGATCAGTTCCATAATGTCTACTTCCAGTGAATGTAACAAGGTGTGTGAGGGCTGCAGTTCCATCAAGATAGAAAGATGGAGCTGAGGACAACTGCCACTGTTCTTTTAAGTTCCCAGAGCCCAGTTTGAGCAACTGGAATTTTAGAGCCAAACAAGGTTTTTTAGGATCGTATTGTGTGAGCACGTTTCATTCTTTATTCCTAACATCATCTGGCCTATATATCATTTGGACAACACTCTTTTTAGCATTGGAGTCACTTAAGAAGTTAGCGTGCCAGAAGGAGTGAATCGTGTCTTTGCTTTTTCCAGATGTATGATTATAGTCTGGATATGTGGAGCTTGGGTTGCATGTTGGCCAGTATGATCTTCCGAAAGGAGCCATTTTTCCATGGCCACGACAATTATGATCAGGTGAGTTTGGCAGGTGCAATCCCCATGGTCCAGGTTTCTGGTTTGCATTTCCAGCCATCACAAGGGGCTGAAGAATTAGCATTCATCATCACTATTTTTGTGAATCTGAAGCCATGTTTTAGTCTCTATTCAATGTGTAACATTTATCTACTGATTCAATGGAAACGTATGGATAGAAGGAACAGTACATCATTTGAGCCGTGTCTCAGCTGGTGTATCTGAAGATATTTGTTCTCCTCAAGAGCGATGGTTCTATTTAGCATAGTAGACCGTGTGTTTCAGAACAACAGCATGAACCAGTAACATTATATGAAAAGCCCTTCCTGATACCCATCTTCAGTCTTGCTCTCAGACTTACCCAGCATCTTCATGGTTTCTCTTATTCAATAAAGTGACTGACTTCACACCAGGTTCATTATTTATCCCCTTTTGGTACTTATGCACCAGAATTATATAGGTTCTAGGACCATGGGCCAAAACTTTCAAATGGAACATGTCTAAAATTAAGCCCTTAATCCCCATGGATTTAGGTGCCTAAACTGATATGTGAAGTTAAAGAATGTTGGCCTTCTTGTTCAGACCTTCATTCCCGAGCCTTCTAAGATAGTGTATCGCCCTTCAGTGGCTCATTCTGGGGCTTCTGCCTTTTCCCTGGTTTTATTCTTGCCTTCCCACACAGTTGCTATTTTGGGACTTTTCCTCTACAAATTGAATTAGAATATTGCATGCCCTCCTCTAATAGACTGACATGACTGACCAGAAGAGCTGAATATCGGTAAGGGCATGTTTGCCGTATTTGTGATTCTATGCAGTCTGGGGAGTAGGAGCCACAAGACCACCCCTGAACGTGGATTCAGTGTTCTGGAATAGCACGTCAGTGCTCATAAGGGGATATACTGTTACAACCATGATGAAAGTATCCCATCCTTCTTCCCCCCTCATAGCGGTTTATCTTTTGTTGTTTGATACCAGTTGGTGAGGATAGCCAAGGTGCTGGGGACAGAAGATCTATATGACTACATCGACAAATACAACATTGAGCTGGATCCACGCTTCAATGACATCTTGGGCAGGTGAGCCAGGAACCTTTAAGATCAACCCAAAATCTTTGAGCAGGTAGACTAATGCTCTGGCAGCAGTGCTGTGTGTAGACACAGACCACTGTCTAGGAAGAAAGCAGCTGTAGGGCTCCTGAAACTAACCTGGTTCTTGTGTGATATCAATCCAGTAGAGCAGTGCTGCCTTGAAAAGAATCCTGTCTCTGCAGATGTGGCTAAGGACAGATGCTGACAGATTCTGGGAGATCTTGTAGGCAATAAATGTACAGTTGGAGTTAGTGACTAGGCAGATGCTACCACTCTTCTTCAGGGGAATTTGATGAGGTAGCTGTTGACTTTGTTATAGCAAATCAATCACTGTTTAGGAGGAGGTAGATTTTTCTAGTACAGTGATCGTTTTCAGTGGTGACATCCACCAAAACTACCTTGGGGGAGGTGGAGTAGGGAGAAATAGGGCTTATCTACACTACCGGCCAGATCGACGGGCAGCGATCGATCCAGCAGGGGTCGATTTATCGTGTCTAGTATAGACACAGTAAATCGACCGCCAATCGCACTAGCGTCGACTCCGGTACTCCACCTCAACGAGAAGCGCAAGGGGAATCAATGGGAGAGCGTCTCCCGTCGACACACCGCAGTAAGTAGATCTAAGTACGTCTACTTCAGCTACGTTATTCACATAGCTGAAGTTGCATAACTCAGGCCTGGTCTACGCTGGAGGGGTGGGGATTGATCGATCTAAGTTACGCAACTTCAGCTACGTGAATAACGTAGCTGAAGTCGACGTACTTAGATCTACTTACTGCGGTGTCTTCGCTGTGGTAAGTCGATGGGAGAGCGCTCGGCTGGATCGATCACTGCCCATCGATCCAGCGCATAATGTAGACAAGCCCTTAGATCGATCCCCCCCATAGTGTAGACCAGCCCGAAGTGTGGGCTGGGAGTTAATTTCACAACCTGAATCAGAGTGCTGTAAGAAGTCGGATTGACTACTGTGCCACCAAGAGGTGGCATGGTGTACTTCAACTTTATAATCTACAGTACAATTTTGATCATATTTGCTGCCACATTGAATAGTGACAGTATCTCTTGTGGCATACACCTGGCCAACAGGCCCTGTTTAAAAGAGGAAAAGCCATATTCAACAGTGGTGGTGCAGACACCGCTCATTTGACTTTCCTCACTCTACAGGCACTCCCGTAAGCGATGGGAGCGCTTTGTTCACAGTGAGAACCAACACTTGGTGAGCCCAGAAGCTCTGGATTTCTTAGACAAATTGCTGCGGTATGATCACCAGTCACGACTCACAGCAAGAGAAGCCATGGAACACCCCTACTTCTGTAAGTATAAACCTTCTCATGTTTTGCTACTGTTTGAGCTGCTGGTTCTATTGGTTAATGATGATGGAGATGGGGCAAGTGGCTGTAAAGTGAGCCTGGTCTCTCCAGACACTTGCATAGGATCTGAGAGATTGTTTGCCTCTGACGTTGGTAGATGGGGTAGTCCATTACACCTAAGCCAGCCTGGACTTGCCCTTCTGGGAAGGGAAGGCACTCCCAGGAGGGAGAATGAGTTGTGGTATATGGTATTGTCAAACCAGTCAATCAGCTGCCTTGGTAATGAAGACACTTGGTGCTGCTTTGGTGATAATTGCAGCACAGATGCCTGATTTCTTATCTATCTCCCGTGTTTTAATAAAACCAAATGAATAGTACCTCATCCCATCTTGTTGTTTAATGTGTAACTGAATGAATAACTTGTTTTAGTTTTTGCCTATATTTTGTTTGATAGTATGGCAAAATTCTCATACATTTGTTCAAACTTATTTGCGATTTCTTCAACAAATAGTTCTTGGTCTGCAGATTTTTCGTGAATAGTTGCAAAAATGTTAAATCTGATGATTTGCTTAGTAACACTAGTCACGTTGTTTTCTTGGTCCCTGATTGACTCATACAATTAACCAACACAGTCTACAATGAAAATTTTGCAACTTAAGACACAACTCAGTTTGCTTTTGGCAAATGTTAAGAGCTAAAAAATGGATTGTCATGGTTATTAGCAATTGTAACGCTTGAGTGCTAGAACTTTCATGACGAGCAAATGCAAAAGGCTTCTAGAAAGCGCCGAAGAGAATTTTATTCCAAATATGAACAAGTATCTGCAGAAAAATGGTTTCAAGATTTGCTCAGCTCCTAGCTCAGCAGCAACCAGGGAAACATTTATGGTTCCTTGTGCTGCTGCTGCAGAAGCAGGCTCTGGGTCTTTTACCCTCAGCCATGGGTGTGGCCCTGTCTGTCTGCAGCTGGGACGAAAAGGGGCAGTTAATGAAACAGGCTTTTTATGAAAGATAAAGACCTAAAAAGTAATGGTCACCCCCGAAGTTATAGTATCGTGTTAAATCCTCAATACACTGAACAACTTAGGGTTGTATTTGGAAATTATCTGTTAATTTGGGATAAATCTTGGTCTCTGGTCCACTAAACTCACTTTCAGAGATCAGCTTTATTACAAGTCAAGTCACTTAGTTTTTCCTTCCCAAACTAACTTTGGATGCATTTCCCTCAGCTTCCTTTTATTATGTCAAGCACACCCACTGAGACAAGAGTGCTGCATTAGTGCAGCTTATCAGTGATCAAATGCAACCCTCATGCACCTGTGTGCATTTCCTGCTGAAGTCAGAGGGCAGAATTTGACACTTCATATACAAATGCTTAGTACATACTTGCACAGCAGTTAGCAGTGCATATACAGGTCTTGTGCTTCTGAAATGCTGTCTGGCAGAACAAAACCTAACCCCTCGTATGTTGTTAGATCCCATTGTGAAGGACCAGGCTCGGATGGGTTCATCCAGCATGCCAGGTGGCAGCACTCCTGTCAGCAGCGCAAGTATGATGTCAGGTCAGTTCCTTCTTGGTAATTGCTGTAAAACTTCCTGTACAACAGCGAGATGGGAGGTGAGGAAAGCAATCAGGACTAGTGAATTCTGCAGGCAAAGCTGCTAGGTGTCAGCCCCAGGGTATGACCTATGTAAGGGGGCTACAAACGAGTTGGGGATGAAATAGGAGGAAAGATTGGGTATGGCTTCACTAACCTGCCATGGTCTCTGCTTGTTTCACAGGGAAGTGCTCTATTGTTTTGAATGCCTTTGGGGCAGGGTTGAAAGATGTCGAGATGGGAGGATAGCACTTATCCAGAGTCACGTGTCTGCTCCCAAGAGGAGACGTGTACAAACGTGATTCTCCCCCCCATTTGAGACCAATGATGATTGTTTAGAGGCCAATGAAAGCTCTTGTTCTTTAGAACGTAGTGGCATTTTGCTACACTCCCACTAAAGTGACCTCCCAAAGTAGCTGGCCTTGAGAAGCATATTGGGTTGCCTCAGGTATGATGTGCCATGCCTGCTCTAATTCATGCTGAACTGTCTTGTTTCAGGGATCTCTTCAGTGCCAACACCTTCGCCCCTTGGACCTCTAGCAGGCTCACCCGTGATTTCTGCCACCAATACTCTGGGGATGCCGGTTCCAGCTGCTGCAGGAGCTCAGCAGTAGTGATGGGTTTTGTCTCCGAATGCCTGAGCTGAGTCAGGTGGGGAAGAGGTTCCCCCTCTACCTCTCCCCAGGCTGCAGCTTGCACCTGGCAGGGGAAGGGAGGGGATGGAACACTTTGGAGGCACCGTGTCTGAACAGTTGCTTGTGGATTTATAGTAGTTCAGTCATTATATAAAAAAATTATTATAGGCTGATTTTTTTTTCTTTTTTTTTTTTACTTGAACTTTTCGTAACTCAGGGGAATCCCTGAAAATACTGCAGATGGAATATTTCTCGGACAATTTTTTTCCCAAACTCCTCATCACTTGAGAACAAAGATGAACCAACTACATTTCCAAGCTGTTGTATCCTGCTGGAAATCTCTTCTCTTCATAGTCCCACCATTACTCCTCCACCAGCTCACCCCTTGGGGGGATTGTCTTGTGCTTTTCTCTGGAGTCTACCAGACCAAGTCTTCACAAGGCAGTGGGAGGGGGATTCTTAAAGTACCAGTCACTTTAACACCATATTCTGCATATGACTCAACTGGGGTACATTGAGGAGACAACTTCAGTTTGTAGAGATGGTAAAAACTTATAAGAAATAAGCGCAGATAAGGCCTAAAACCCTATTCTGTCCTGTATGAATCATGTCTCTCTAGGAGTTAACCAGAGCGCTGACTCTCTCCCTTGCATGTAATTTTAGTCTTAAAGCATAAAGTTACTGATCCAGTTGACGTTCTTGCCATCTGCTGTTGAAGGTGCTCCAGTAGGGTAAGCTGTACTCTAATCAGTACCTTTTCCACATAAGGTTCTTCCGGCCAATCCCTTGGCTTGGAATTCTGGAATTAATTTGTTACTGGGTATATTGTTTTGTTTTTTTAAATTGTTTATACAGATTTCAAAATGGTGGCTACTTAAAGAGCTGGAAAATCAGACTGCGCCAAGTCACATATTGAGTCATCACCCACCACCCCCACCCTCCTGTGCCATGTGGTGAGAATACTGGTTACCTCACAGTCTTGTAAATATGCACTGAGAGGAAGGAGCGAGTAGACTAACTTAAACTGAAATGGTAGACCTGTAATTGTGGACAGATATTACTATTGATGACAAAGCACCCTTGTTACAGCCTTGCTACCCTTTGCTGTGTATATATACTTTGTCCTTCATATGTGAAAGATCCAGTGTTGGAATTCTTTGGTGTAAATAAACATTTGGTTTTATTTATCAAGGTTAGATTTAAGTTCCCTGTGTAGAGGTCTCACTGGGTTGGTGTCGCACACTTTTACACAAGAGTGGCCTGCAGGCCTGCACGTATTGAGGGAGGCGGCTTTCCTAGTCATATGCACCTTTGTATGATCTGTTGTAGTGAGCAGTGCAAAGAAGCCTTATAGAAGCATCACAAGCCAAAGTATCTCCTGGGATAAGGATCTTTTGCCATAGAACTCCTTTTGTTTCTCAACCATGCTGGGATTTGTGTTAGGGAAACAATTCCCAGCTTTTTGTGCATTGCTGTTCACTGAAATCAAACCACTTAAGCTTGTCAGGTGCTCCACTGGAGAGACTTTAAGCACAATGGCACCCATCACTTCTGGATCCTCGTTTTAATGCCGTTGCAGCAGCTGCTTGTTCTGGGCATTGAGTACTCTTCTAGTTCTTGCAACAAGTCCTGAAGCCTTGGCATTTCACCCCTGCTTGTTCTATAAGCACCTACCACTTTAATTTGGGGGGGGGGGGTGTTCAACCATTATTTCCTTATTGCTTCAATTAATTCTGCCAAGTAAGGCAGTTGAGTGCATGGGCTGGATTAAATTGAGAGAAACTGGCCAGCATGGAACCCATAGTCCCCTTTCCATTAGGATCACCTAAATGGGAGATGAATTTTTAATGAGCACCAGGATAGCTTTCTTCTCCATGATGTCATCCAGTGGAAATTTATTGTACTTAATCTTTTTATATCCTAGAATGATGTGAAAATCGGACCATGTTGACTGTTTCCTTGATGTGCAGTAGCTAAAAGCACCAAGTATGGCAAAGATATCACTTGTGGTTTGTTTGCACTAGGTCGGGAGCTACACAGGACACTTAACCAATTTATTTTTTTTTTGTAAATGAGGAAGGAGGACTATAAATCAAAACAGTTGGCTCCTTCCTAGCTTAAGAGAGCATCGTTGTAGATAAGGCTGTATAATAAGGAAACCACAAACAGCTGAAGGTTCTTGTGCCCATCAAGCCTTGCAACAAAAGAAAGCAAGAAAACAAGATGAGAATGGAAGGACTCGGTTCTGGAAGTGACACAAGCTCTTTCTATAAAATGCTACATCAGATTCACTGCACAAGCATGCAACTAAATAGACTGGGATAGTGTGTCCCAGTGGTGATGGGAGGGCAAGGGTTTACAGATTGTAACAACTTCTGTGTTGTAGATTACCTCCTCTGTATACCTTGTATTGGAACACTTGTTTCTCAGCAGTGCATTGTGTTAAATGGCAGGAAATCAAATGCCAATAGATTAGTCCTGCTGGCAACTAACCTTCAAGGTCTTTTTTTTTTTTTAAGGTTTTTTATCTTGTTTGAAGTGGCCCTTTTTTTGTTGAAGTTAGACTTTCTTTTCTCGATTTATTGGTTGTAATTGTATTGTAATTGTTATAACTAAACTTAACCATGCTGGGAAGAAGTTGTGCCATGGAGGTCTTTAATTTTTTTTTAATAAAAACATTGAAACAAAATCACCACCACAGAGTAAGCAGTACAGTAACCTGCAGCTAGTTGCACATGCATACTAAATTGCTTTGATTTTACACAAATTACATTGGTGTCTTCCAAAAAAGGAAATAAAGATGAAATGTTATTGTATCCATTCTAATGCTGCAGAAACTTGTGCCCTGCTCAGACAGTACTTGTTCATCTTCTGTACCTGTGCCACTTTGTGCCTTGGTTTTTCCAAGCTCACGCAAGCAAGCAGGTTCTGGCTTGTCAGAGCTTGGATGGAGGCCTCCAAAGAGCATCTAGGTGCTGCAGGAAGTGGTGTTGATTTGGTGGGTGCATTCTTTCCTCTGAGTCGGTCTCTGTGGCGATTAGGGGCACACTATTGCTGGCAACACTGTCACTTGGGTGAAGGATGAAAACAAATGTCCTGGTCATTTGTGGTCACTAAAAACCTTATGTTGGTCTTCGAAAGTATTAGATTTTGTGTAGGAGAGTGGGGATAATTCGAGTAATTCTATTTCCACCCAAATTGCCCCTGCAGTTTGAGCTGGATTAAGGCAGTGACTCTCAAATTCTGGAATTAGGAGTGTGTGGAGCCCTTCCTCTTAATCCATGGAATGAAACTTCAGGAACACAAGCAATGTGATGGAGGATATGTAGTTAACTGAAAAGGGATCTTTGTCTTGCAAAGCAAATGTTGAGTTTCTGGTGATCTGGTATTTAATTCCTGGCCTAAACTACTGGTGTGCTGCTAAATAGTTGCCACATTACAACCCAGAGCTGGCTGCATTTAAATGGCAAGTGATGCAATCTCAAAGTTTGTCTTTAACACCAAGAAGCCCCAGTGAGGATCAGGGCCTCCTTGTGCCAGAAGCTGTACAAATACACACTGGAGAAAGTCCATACCTGCAAGAACTCCCTTTTGTAAAGTGGTGTTAATGGATGAGGTGCTATGTAAATGCATGATACACCTCTACCCCGATATAACGCAGCCCGATATAACACTAATTCGGATATAACGCGTTAAAGCAGCGCTCCGGGGGGGGGCGCGGGGCTGCACACTCCAGAGGATCAAAGCAAGTTCAATATAACGTGGTTTCACCTATAACGCGGTAAGATTTTTTGGCTCCCGAGGACAGCATTGTATCAGGGTAGAGGTGTACTATTAAACTGGGCCTGAAATGTAGGGGGGGAAATGTGAGAAGGGAGGAAAAAATTAAAGCAAATTAGAAGTAAAAAATTCCAGGCTGGCTAACTCTGCTATAGAAGATCTTAATACAACTACTTGTGACATCTGTTTTGGTACAGTCTCATTGGTGGTCAATTTGCTTATTTTCATCTTTGTTTGCACTGTACAGAGGAGCCCTTCTGAGTGTCAGTTGATGGATTTGGCTTCTTTCTCTGTTCCGCATGTTTCTCTGGGTCACCTTCTATCCAGGTGGTGTCCATGTGGACTTTACTTGATGTGGAAGTCATGTTGGTGGCATCCTTAAAGGATGTCCTAAATGTGATCATCTTTGTCATCTTACCATATTTGATGCTTTAGGTTGGTTTGCTCTCCTTAGAACTTCTGATTTTGCAGAAACTCTTTCCAAGAAACTGAACTTTCACAGGCATTTTCTTTGGAATGAAATAATCTTATCAATTTTCTTATAGATTTCCATGACTCTGCTCCCTAAAGGACAGACATGATGCTGGCGTTAAATATTCATATTTTTGTTGGTGTCAAACTGGCCATTTTTCCAAATCTCCAAGTTTATGAAAGTTGTTTGCTGCTTTTGATATTCATTGCTTGACATTTACCATGGTGTCACCCTCATTGCACATTTTTCCCTGGGAAGGTAACGTGACTTACTACTTTTACTCTGAATGCTTTGGGGACATTAGTAGTCATCCATTTTGTCTTCCTGTTAATGAACATACTACTTTTGTTGTGTATGCCAAAAGCACGGTGTTTTCTTCCATTAAATTATGTGTTGAACTAAGCAGGACGATGTCATCACGAAAAACAGTCATCCAATTGTGACTGATCATTTGCCCATAAAATTACTCGGTTGCCTTCTGCGGTTACTTTCCTCCTGACATAGCAAATGATGAATGGAATCAATAGTGGGGACATAATACACCCTTGCCTTACTACAGTTGTTGCTGCAAACTATTGGCTATTGTCACCATCTCCGCCTGCGTGTTCAGAATTATCATATAGAGCCTTAATTATTCAAATTGGTTTTGCTGGTATTCCATAGCATACATAATTTTGCAAAGGCTGTTTGTGTGCAATCAAGAAAACTTATCACGAGGTGCTTGCCACTCCATACTTTGTTCTGAGAATAACAATATAGTCTGCATATGATCTCAATGAAAGAGAGGAACAAGCAGGTTAAGTTGGAGTTGTATTTGCTTCTTGATACATTCCAGGATGCATTATTTCCTAGGCACTGAGTAATGATTCCTCTCCAGCTATGGCAGTTGGTAAGGTCACCTTTCTTTGGCAATTTTACTAAAAGGCCTCTTTCAGTGGAATGGATTCTTTTCTTCTATCCATATTTTATTGAAAAACCCCAAGAAAGTCTGCGGGCTGTTTCAGCACTTGCTTTAAGTGTCTTTCCAGTAATATCCTCTCCTGGTGCTTTGCCATTTTTAAGATTACTGATGGCTTTTCTAACATCCACTATAATATCTCCTAAACCGATACCAAACTCGGGTGGTAGGTCTTTGTCACAAATGTCTAGTAATTTTGCTTGGGCTTGGTCTGTTTAAAACAGCATGAAAATGTTTTGCCCATCTTTCCCTTTGTTCTTCTGCACTAGAAGTCTTTTCTATTTGCATCTTTAATAGGGCTTCCACTATTGCTAAAGTTTCCTTTGATGTTTGATCCTTATACAAGGTTGTAAGGTCACTCTTTGGCTAGCATGGTCAGCCTCTTGACATGTTTTGTCAATATATATATGCCCTTTTATCTCCTCTAGTACTCCTTTTTATCTCTCTGGCTAGAGCTCCGTCATCGTCTTCCACTTGCTTATGTCTTCGTCTTAGCATGCAAGAGATTTTGCTTTAGCTTCTTTTCTACTGCTGCCCAAATCACATTGCTAATCCATCCTTCCCTTTTTAGTCTCTGTTGCTGTTAGGACTGTCTTTGCCATTTCTAAGTAGTACGCTCTGATATCTTCCTGTAGAGCATATGTCTTGATTTTTTTTCAGTTGACTCTACTACAATAAACTGAAGACTGGTTTCAACAAACTGAATTGTACTTAGTGTCTGGGTCTTTTAATAGTGTGCTGTTGATGTGCAGTCTTCTAACCTCCTTCATCCTTTTTAATGTGAACTTCAATTTAATGATAGTACGGTTATGGCTACTGCCTACATCTGTTCCTCTATACAGCTGCTAACAAATTAGAACTTCTTTGAAATGCAGATGTGATCTACCTCGTCCTTCATACTACCCTGTGGGGTATTGTCACTTTATGAATTTCTTTGAGGGAATACTGTTCCTAGTCACTAGGTTGTTAAATATGATTTTCTACTAATCATTCACCATTTCAATTCATCTCTACCCCCCCCGCTGTACTTGCCTACAACTTAATCCAACCCAGCATTGCTACTTCCAACCTGTGTGTTAAAATTATCCATCGACACTTATGTTTTGGGATCTGGGTTAACACATGCTGTGACAAATCATAAAGAGCATCTTCTTCCTTCTCTGGATAGTTATTGGCTGGTTTGTAACATTGAGTGTTGGGCTGGAGCGTGTAATGTAAAAGTGCTAGCTTTGGGTAAAGCTCTTTGCACGTGTCACCATTCTACCCCCCCCCCCCCCCCGTCCAAGCTTTGCGGGTTGTTTCTTGCCAGCAGCGGGCAGAAGGCAGTGCCACCTCTGCATCGTGCTGGTCAGTTCCAGTCACTGGACTAGCTGGACCTGGCCCGTGCGTGCTTTCCCCCAGGTGCACCCTGGGTTTAGCCTTTACCCAGAGCGAGTTCTCAACGCAGAAAATCGGCCAGGCCCCGCCGCCGCTCTGCGTGCAGGCGGGACAGGCTTGCAGCGGCTTGCTGTGATGTCTGACAGCCGCGCGCCCTGCACCGATTTGCTCACAGCCACGTGTCGCAGGCGCGCGCGCTGGGGGGAGGAGCTCCTCCGCTGCTCTTCCGGGGGCAGGGACCGAGCGCGAGAAGCAGCGCGCGCAGGCAGGCCTCTCTCAGGAGGCTGCGTCCGTTAGGCGCACGCGCCGTGGCTTCTACGGCTCTCTTCCGCCCTGGCCATGGGACGGGAGCCTCACGCTCAAGCGCTCGGCGCGATGACAGAGGAGGCCGCGCGCCGCTAGCGGAGGAAGCGGAGCCGGGCCCCGCCCGCCCGGGAGGCGCTTCGGCGCCCGGAGACCATGTCCCTGCGCAGGCCGCCGCCGGACGGTATCGCGCCGCACGGTACCGAGGGGCTGGGCCCCGCGCGCGGCCCCGGCCTGGGGGGAGGGGTCTCTGCAAGCCCCGCCCCTCCGGAGCCCCCGGGTCCCAACTGCCCCCGCGGCCGGGCCGGGCCGGGCCCGCTCCTGCCTCAGCGAGCGGCGCGTCTCCCCCGCCGGGCCTGGCGCCGCTCGGGGGCCCGGCCCCGCATCCCCCCTCCCGGCCCGGCCCGGCCCCGCCGCCTGGCCCGGCGCTACCCCGGCCCGGCCCCGGCGCTGGGGCTCCCGGAAGCCCCCGGGGCTCGGCCGGGCTCTAACTCCCGGACAAACGAGCTTTCCTACCCCCGAGGCCGGCGGCGGCGGTTCGGCGGCTGGTTCCCCGTCTCAGGGGGGGTCTGTAGCGGGCCCGGCCCCCGGCCCTCCCCTGGCGGGTGCGAGCCCAGCCACTGCCCCGCTGGGCCCGGACACTGACCGCCGCCTCTCACCCGCGGCGGTTCTCTCCGTGGCTTGTTCGAGCAGCAGCAGCACCTGGCGGCCCCGGGCTGGGCGCCTGGCCTGGCCATGGCGCAG